GATAAATAGACAGACAGATGGACAGATAGATGATAGATATAGATGATAGATGGATGGATGGATGGATGGATGGATGGATGGATGGATGGATGGACGGACGAACAGACAGACAGACAGACAGATCAGAAACATTCTCTGGGTTGCCGGATCCAGATCCAGTTGGAAATGCTGACGCATCCTGAGATCTCCTGCCTAGGGTGAAAACCCAAGCAGATTTCACCAACGATCTGGGAATCTACCTAATCTCACCCAAACTTTTAACAAATCTACAATAAAAGGAGACGAGCTGAATATTCCATAACAATTACCAAGACTTTCCCTCAGAGTAAGCAGCTCTAGTTATTATTATTCCAGAGATTTTTGATCAATGAGTAACTTATTTATTGGATAACTTGAATAAATAAAACTATTTTGGAGATCTCCAATTTATCCTTCCTTGATAGGGTCTCCTCTATGCTGGCTAGGAATTCTGGGAGTCGCCATTCCAACACCTCTGGATGGCCAATGACCAAAATTGTCCGTCCCCCCCTTTTAAAGAAACTTTCCACTTACATTAGTTGTTTTTTTGTAATAATCGATGTTGTGAACATCTCTGGCAAGACCAAAGTCAGCTATCTTCATCACATTGTCTTCTGTGACCAGAACATTTCTGGCGGCCAGATCCCGGTGAATACACTGCAAAGAAATGGTTTATTTGTAAATAAAACCACGGCTTAAAATATTATTAAAAAGTTCTAATGGATGCTTGGATCAATAAACAGCTCCATTCTTCATTACAAATCTGAAAAACAAATATTTTCCATTCCTTGTACTTTGGGGTATACCTTGGCAACACTGAGGCTTTCAATGTAGTAGAAACTCTTTGTATCTTGTTTGTAACTACACGAAGTCCTCTGCTTACAACAGTTTCAGATTCACATAACAACCGTGGGAAGTAAAGTCGAAAAAAATGAGGCAAAACTCATTTAGCAACTGTCTCCCTTAGCAACATAAATTTTGGGCTCACTTGAGAACTACCTGAACTCACAAAGGTATATCATAGAGGATATTACAAAACAACAGACATTAAATATCCTTTGTCGGAGACACGTTAAAAATCCCCTGAATTTTCCTGATTCCATTTGATTTGATCTCTGAATTCCTGGATTTCCCAGGCAGGAATAACATTTTATTACGCAAGAAGATTTGCAGGGAAGACTCTCTGTTACAGACAGGGGTGGGATTAAAATTTCTTAACAACCGGTTCTGTGAGCGTGGCCTAATTTGTGAGTGTGGCTTGGTGGTCATGTGACAGACTGAGCTAGCCGATGGCAGATAGATAGAGCTCTGAATGAATCTGTGATTCTGTGAGCAACTCAATTTGCCCGCTTTGCCTGATTTTGGGTAAAAGTTGCTCTTTTTTTATTAAAAAAAAATCAATATTAATATAAATAATTATAATATTGGCATACAAGCCACGCCCAGCCAGTCACATGACCACCAAGCCACACCCACTAATTAAGCCACGCCCACAGAACCAGTTAGTGGTCCCTGGGATCTAAAATTATGAGTTTGGTGGTCCCTGAGGTCCAAAAGGTTGGCGACCCCTGTTCTAGAGTAGGGGTCTCCAACCTTAGCAACTTTAAGACTTGTGGACTTCAACTCCCAGAATTCCTCAGCCAGCTTTGCTGGGAGTTGAAGTCCACAAGTTTTAAAGTTGCTAAGGTTGGAGTCCCCTGCTCTAGAGTCTATTTATCTCCTCTCCCGTCTGTCCCAGTGTTATTCTTGCCTTCCTTAGTACAACTTGGTGTCTTTGTTTCACGTTTCCCACACAAGCCACCTTTCCCAGTCTCTAGAAACCCACTTTTTGCAAGTGCTTGGCTACTTACCTTTTGAGACGCCAGGTACTCCATCCCACGGGCCACCTGGTAGGCGCACGAGACCAAGTCTTTCAAGGTCAGCTGCTCCTCGGGAAGCTTGCAGGTATCGAAGGAATAATCCATGCCGGGTAGCCGACGCGCCCTCAGGTATTCCCTTAAATTCCCCTTGGATGCATATTCCACAAGAACATAGAGAGGACCTGGAGAAAAACAATCCACGGTTGTTCGACACGCCCTCCCACCTCTCTCTAAGTGTCCTGGCAGCTCGCTACTCGTTTTAGGACCGGGGTGTTCTTTGGTTCGGTTTCTAGACGAGAGGACTTTCGGTTCCACAACAGATGCATTCACGTTAAGCTTGGGAGGAGGAGCTACCCCCTAACAACTTAGCAAGGTGACACGGGGTGGGTGAAGACGGGCATGGTTCAATCTACAGACATCCAAGCTCACCCTGGAAGAATCCGCCATCTTCCAGCCACTCCTCAGAAAGGAACTCTGATGCCCACGCCATGCCAGGAACTTCTAAGCAAATGGAGGTTCACTGACTAACCCAAGGCCTACTCTTCACAGTTGCCCTGAGGAGGTCTCGTTTCAAAGGCCACCTGCGTGTTCGCCAGAGATGCCTTCTGGAACACCCACTAAGCTGCCAATTCAGGCAGGGGAAAATCTGAGCTCACGTGGAAACTTCCACCCGTACAGGTCTACCTGTGAGGTTCCCTCAGACAGGTGTTTCTCCAGGTTAGAGTAATTTTGAAGAGGCAGAATTCACCTCCTTTGCTCTGAGTAGGACCTCGACAGGAGGAAGCAGAAAGCAAGGACGCCGAGGGAGATCAATAGGCCCAAAGAGGCCCAGGGCTGAGCATACACCTGACTAACTTTACCCAAAGCTCCCCAGCCGTCTCGTTTTAGGGACATACCATCCTGCGTGCAGGCCCCCAAGAGGTTGATGATGTTTTTGTGCTTCCCTATCATCTTCATCATTTCCATTTCTGAGACTAAGTCCGACAGATCTTTGTCCGTGGCGTCATCTGCAGAAGAGAGGAGAGAAGCAGCCATGAGGTGAAAGCATCTAATGGCGCCCTGATATTTTGGCTTGAGAGGTCAACAAGCATCCCCGTGCTTGGTCGTGCTCCTACCCTACTCCTGGTTTTAGGGATCTGAGACTCTTCCCTCCACCTTTCCTCCAATTCTGGATACCAAAGGATGTTTTCAAACATGCACACCTGATATTTTGCTGGTTCGTGTCCAGGCCAGGACAAGGGAACCATGGAGAAGTTCTCCAGAAGTGAGGGTCCTTCTGCTTCAAAGATGGAGGGGGAAGGGAAGTCCTACTTTTCTGGAATGGCCTTTCTAAGCCAACCCTCCCCACCCCAACTTCCTCTCTAGAACAGGAAGAGCAGCCGTTGAAGAACGGAGAGCCGGAACCAAGATGAATTGGACACAACACAGTATGTTGTCTTGGTGCAGATAGTCCTTGACTTACAGCCACAATTGAGCCCACCATTTCTGTGGCTAAGCAAGATGGTTGTTATCTGATTTGTGCCCCTTGTTTTATTACTCTTATTGACACAGTTGTTCAACGAATCACTGCAGCTATGTGGTTGTTAAGTGAATCTGGGCTTCCCCCGTTGACTTTGCTTGAATGAATCCAGTTGGGAAGGTCATGACCCTGGAACAGCAGAATTGTCAGAACTATGAAGCAGTTGCCAAGTGGCCCAATTTGCATCACGTGATCACGGGGACGCTGCAGTAATCGTAAGTATGAAAAAGGGTCACAAGTCATTTTTTCCAGGACTGCTGCAACTTTGAACCGTCACTAAATGAATGGCTGTAAGTCAAGGACTACCTGTATAAAGGACAAGGAAGAGACCCCTAAAAGAGGTGACCTACAGCAGAAGTCAGTCCATGGAGGTGAAGCTCGGGAGGAGAACGAAACCAGGATTAGAAATCAAAAGTGCAAAGAGGCAAAGGGCTGTGGCCTGTCGACTGCTGGAGCCTCCAGCAGCCGAACCAGAGGAGACGGAGGAAACGTGGCAGTTCAGGGCCGGCATCGAGGCAACCTGAGAGCTCCGAGGGGGAAGAGGGAATGGAGCCGGCAGAGAGACGAAATCAGAGGCGGAGCCTGGGCCATCCATCAGCCCTCCGATGGAGAGTCAACCGTGCCCAGGTCTGAAGGTGGCTGATGAGAAAGAGGAGGAACAGCTGGGCCCAGTGCCTGACATGTGGATGCACAGAAGGCAGAGGAGAGGAGAGGAGAGCAGTGGAAATCTATGGGCCGGTCCTTGAGATGGAAAAGCTACCACTGCTAGCAACGCCCCACCCTAGCTCTGGGGATAAAAGGCAGTGGGGGGCAGAGATGAATCGGGGTGGCAGACAACTATTCATCTCCCTGCTGGACAGACTTGTTAGCCTGCGAGGGAAACTTTTTGCCGGGGCTGCCGGCGCTCCTATTGAAAGGAATCTTTTGCGTTAACTTCAGAGGGTTTGTCGTGTTTGGGGAGCTGGCTCATGAAAACACCCGCATCTCCTTGCATCCGGAGCCTTCAGTACCTTTCAGCATCTTGACCGCTACAGTAACAGGCTTGTTTGGTTTTTCCTTGTCGACCCCCATGGCTTCGGCCATCACCACTTGACCGAAGCAGCCTTCGCCCAACGGCTTCCCGAGAGTCAAGCTGAAAAGCAAAGCAGTGTGGGTGAGACGGAGACAGCGGAAGAACGAGAAAGCTGGCCACCTCCAAAGCTCTGCCTAGGCCTGGTTTCCTCACCGAGATCTCGCCAATTCCCACTTGGGATCTGCCGGCAACTCCAGCTCGGACACGTTGGCCAGCATGCCGCCCTCACTGGAGGAGAGGCGGGTGATCCTCACCAGAGGAGTGTTGGAGTTCATGGATGAGTTGGACTCCAAAGACACCTGCTTGAGTAGAACAAATGGGCGGTTACTGGCAACAGCCTCTCGCAGGAGGCGTAGCCTGAGGGGCAGAGGGGAAGGAGGGGAACCTTCCTGAGCCGCAGCGTGATTCAGAATGGTTATAAACCTTGATGGAAAGCCCCTGAGGGCCTCCTGCAAGACCGTTGCTTTTTAAAAATGCTTTTGGGTTTAATGGTCTAACTTCTAATTCCCAGGACTCAGCGATTCTGCTCCTTCGGAATTTAATCCGATGAAAGTAGCACATCTATTTATTTTTTTTTGCTTACTCCTGGAAAACAGTAATGATCCCTGGAGTAACTTGCTTGCAGTATAGAGCAGTACTAGTAGAACGCTTCCTGTGATCTTGAGGCAGCCTTGAACCATGTTGGCTTATATTGGGGGCTTTTAGCATGGAGAAACAGCAGCTGAGGGGGAAGGCATGAGATGGAAAAAATGAATAGGGAAACATTCATTCTCTCTCTCTCTCCCTCTCTTTCCCTTTCTCTCTTTCTCTCTTTTTTCTCTCTCTCTCCCTCTTTCTCTCTTCTTTAGCTTTCTCTCTCTCTCTTTCTCTTTTTCTTTCTCTCTCTTTATCTATTTCCCTTTTTCTCTCTCCCTCTTTCTTTACCTTTCTCTTTTTATCTTTCTTTTTCTCTTTCTTTCTCTCTCCCTCTTTCTTTCTCTCTCTCTTTCCCTTTATCTATTTCTCTCTCTCTTTTCTCTCTCTCTCCCTCTTTCTCTCTCAACATTAGGATCATTCAATGAAAACTAACTGAAAGCAATATTATAGGAGGTGAAAGAAAGGACTTCTTGAGACAATACTTCTTTCCAAGGGAAGGCAATACAGTATACATGTCCCAGGATAAGGTTGCAGGATCCAATCTCTGTTGGTCACCAGAACCAGAGGTTTACTCTTCCGAGCTTTTGGACTCAGGCTGGAGCCCATCCTCAGAGAGAAGCTCTCAAGGAAAAGAGAGAAGCTCCAGCATGAGTCCTGGAAGATTGGAAGACTAAACCTCTGTTCCCATGACCAAGTCAAATTGGGTCCTGTAATAATTAAGTTGTGGAACTGATCACAAGATATGACGATGGCCCCCAAGTTAGATTAAATTCAAGGTGGGCACATATATTAGTTGGTCGATGATTCTGAAGACTCTCTATGTCATTCAGAGTCCCAGGTTCATCTGGCTGACTCCTGTGAGGAAAATAATGCTTGGCTTGATCCAGAAGGCTTGTCCTTATCATCTCAGTGCTTCCCACTTCTTCCCCAGAACCCAGGAAGCACTAAGTGCAGTGGTGGGATTCAGCCGGTTCACACCGGTTCCATTGAACTGGTTGTTAACTTTCTGAGCAGTTTGGTGAACTGGTTGTTGGAAGAAATCATGAGGGCAGAGAACCGTTTGTTAAATGATTTGAATCCCACCACTGACTAAGTATGTTTCAAAAATAGCCCTGATGTAGTCTCTTCCTAGCGTGCTCGTCCAAGAGAAAGCCTCCATGTCAATTATGCACTGCATCAATAAAAAGAGGTCCTTTTGGGCCTTTTCGTACTGTAAAGAGAAGCATTATGGGAAGCGGGATTGTGGTCTAAGTCCATTTTACATCCCATGTTAATGTAACATCATGGAGAATTCAACAGACAGTTAAGATCTGGAAACCAGAATGTTGTGCAACTTTAAGGCCATCCTTTAAGTCATGGTCCCTGGAAACAGCAAAGACAGAATAAATCCATATTCTCCATCAAATGACAAGGTAAACCTGCTGAAGTCCTTCCCTACAGTATAAAACAGAGCTAAAACCAAGCTGGCTGAGGAATTCTGGGAGCTGAAGCCTGCAAGTTGCCAGGTTTGGGGACCCCTGATCTAAGAAATCAGGAGGACGCCGGGAGGAGATAGGAATAGAGGGGAACAGAGATCTTGTATCTACTTTCTGTTACCTGTCTCTTGAGGGGGAACTTGGAGACTTTCTGAACCGCGGTGGCATTCATGGATTTTTTGGCTGGCCTTTTGATTTTATAAATCATCACCATCACAGCCACCAGGATGGAAAGAGCGAAGGCAATCCCGTAGCTGAGGATGCCTGCGTAAAACGAGCTGGAATCCTGTCTCGCAACTCGTTTTTCTGCTGGAGGAGGAGAGAGACACGTTAGGAACCCAGAAAAATGGCAGCCTAGCCATATCTGATACATTTCAATGCAGACCATCACCCCCAATCTGAAATACACAACTGCAAAAAAAAAAAAAAAATGCTTATGGCACAGCAGTAAAGGGCTGTCATCGCCAAATTCCTTTAAATTTGGGGATTGACCTTGGTGTAGAAGCAGTGGTGGGATTCAAATAATTTAACATCCGGTTCCCTGCCCTAATAATTTCGTCCAAAAACCAGTTCACCAAACAGCTGAGAAAATTAACAACCAGTTCTCTCAAACCGGTGCAATCCGGCTGAATCCCACCACTGCGTAGAAGAGTTTTCAACAAATGAGACGTGAAGGTGTCTCTTCTGAAAATCTAATAGCTTTTTCCGCTAGATCCTTTATTTTGGAGCAGCCGTTTAAATACTGAAACAACATGCGTGTTGACATTCAGGCGTAATTAACGCGCACAGGAATGCCAAGTGAACATGTGTGAAAAGAATAATGCTGAAGTGCAAAATTTCTAGTTTGTGTTGCAGCACTGAACAAGACACAGTCTCGCGTTTCTGAGATGAGCTGGCAGCCAACAGACTTGGTGGAGTTGGGGCTGAGAACGGCCTTGTTTAATTTGGGGTTGTGTGATTCACTGGTGCAAATCGTGAAAGTTCCTCCCTGCCAAGAGACACCCCAAGGCAGAAGGAGGGGTGGGGGGGTGGGGGGGTGAGCCAGCAAGGCCCTTCACGCAGGTCCACCTTGTGAGAAATGGAGCACGGAAGCAGAGAGCCCACAAGTGATTCATAGGGCTTCCCAGAAGAAGCCTTGTGTTCTCCACATTAAACGTGGGTGCAATTCAGCCAGTGAAAGTTGGAATCCAGTAATAGGAAACCACTCCACACATAGTGAGCCTTCAGCCTTCAGCAATGCCCCAGCTTAAAAGTGGTGTGAAACAAAGACTTTTGAACTTCTTGGAGCACCCCCGCCCCCGGGAGAGACCCCAAAGTCACAATGGCCTTCGCAACGGTTCCACTGAATCCGTGGCAGCCTCTTTCTTCTCACTCTTGTAGCTGTCTAACCATCAGTGCTGCATCCACAACGGTTCTGAAAGGGGCACCTCCAGGGTTCCCCCAGCTGGAGAAAGGCTAATCATTCACGCTTACTCCAGAGTAGAACTGTGTCATTTTATCGCCGCTGAAATAATGAGTTGCATGAAATGAAACGGGGCTGTCCTGAAACGCAAGGCGCATCTCCTGCTGAAGAGCTGCACCTTGGTACAAAAGGGCTCCCGGGCCTTCAGAGGCCAAAGGTGAGGGGAAAGGAGACCAAGCAGAAATACCTGGTAAGACCGTCAGCCAAGCAGAGTGATGTGAATAACCAATAGAATTCCCCGCCAGGCAAGTATATTCCCCGGCATCTTCAAAAGTAACATTGTGCAAGGAGAGAATTTCTAGCTCTTTGTCCGTTTTGTTAACACCCGCTGTCTACGGAGGAAAGAACAAAACAAAAGAGAGAGAGAGAGAGAGAGAGAGGGAGGAAGGAAGGAGGGAAGGAAGAAGGAGAACAGGATAAGCAAAATTCCCAGAAAAGATCACCCAGACCAATTTCCAAAGCAGACGGCGATCGGAAGGGCCTCGGTGGCCTGTCCTGCTTCCCTCGCCACAACCATGGTTGGCTTCCAAAGTGACCAGCTCCCTTCACCAGCCTCCGACTCTGTCCCACTAAGGGTGCATGCAAGGCGAAGCGTCCGAAATGAAAAATTCCCTTCAAACTCTGACTGTCTCGGGAGGCGGAGAAGCGAACGAGAAGAGGCCGAGACAAGCAGGGAGGACTCAAGGCCAGCGGGTCAACGTGGCTTTAGGGGAGAAAAGCTTTTCATGGTTTAATTTGCAGAATTCATCCCGAGGTTGTTCTTTTTCCCACCCACCCATCCAGGAAACCCCGGCTTCTTCTCTCAGGAAGATTTCAGGACATTTCCTGGCCCGTTTTTGGGGTGGGGGGGAAAGCCCTGGAAACAAGGAAGGGCCTCCCAACGCCTGGCCTGGGTGGCGAAGGGTTTCAACGGGAGCGCCTGCCAATCGCTCTGCCGAAGGGAGCTGGACGGATTGTGAAAAGAGCCGACGGAGAACTTGGTCAGACCAAGAGCCAGATAATCTCACACCCGGGAGGAAGAGGAGATTCCAAGACAGTCATTCGTGTGGGAATTTTTCCGAGGGCACGATTCATAAAAGCGTTTCATTATTCTAAAAGTTAGGAGGAGGGGAAAAAAAAGGGTCAGAGCCATCATCTCAAAGACCTAGAGGAGGGAAAAGGGGCATAAGCACCCCAAGGAAGAGTAACGGCTAGCAGTTGGAAGCGTTGTTGTTTTTTTCCGGCTCGTTCGTGCAGAGCTGCGAAGCCTCTGGGACAGAGTTGAGGAATTACCTGCTTCTGGTTTGTGAATGTGGAGCCAAAATGATTTTTCGGCTCTGCCTATGAAATTGTTGGCTCTACAAAGATATTCGCCTTCGTCTTGTTTGGTCACATTGAATAGATTTAGGTTAACATCGGCTTCAGCGTTTTTACTGATCCAAGACTGCAGAACAGACAAAAACTTCAACTTCAGTACCCCAACAACCTCTCTCCATCACACGTTAGACAGGCGGGGCTGGCTAAGCTCTTACTCGGCTCGGCGTCCCTTTCTTTGGGTTGAACTTCCGTGTTGGCGCCTTCTCTTGGTGCAGAAGTCCACCGTGAAGCCCTCAAGAGAGAGATGGCGCCTGGGTCCCCTGCTTGGACCTATCCAGGAGGAAGGGCCCACCTTCCCTCCACGCCAGGGGTCTCCCTACCGAAGGGGTGTTGCCCCTAAGAAAATTCCCCCAACTGGAATTTGCCTTTTGATCTCTTGGATCCATTTCTCCCCGCCCCTCCAAATTCTGCACTCTAGCCCAAGGGAGAACTGTTGTCTTGAGGTTCTTCTTGGAGGGGTCCCATTGGGTTGGACATTTGAAGCTGGCTGCCCTAACCCCACCCCCGTCTCCTCTTTCCGAGGCTTAGCAGGGCAACCCAACTCTTCCTTCTCCTTCCACCGCCGTCCTTGTCTACCCTTCCTCTTACTCTCACGGTCTTTCTCCCAACTGATCCCTGATCAATTCCTAGGCTGCAATCCGGAGGCATTTACTGCACGATCTATCAAAGCAGTTAGTGGATTAAAGCGTGAGCAACGCTTACTCGTGCAAAATTTATCCTTGATAAGTAACAAGGGTAGAATTCAAGGTGCTCACAGACTTTTATGGTCTGTTCAAGAGCTTCTTCAGTATCGATGCCAGGCAATCTACAGTCAAATGATCTATGAATCATCCTTTTCCCCTCTTTTTTGAAGGCAAAGGACATTTTATAGCCTCCAATGTCTACAATTTCTATATTCAGAGATCAAGTCGTCCATGGACCAGTGATGGAAACTAGCAAGGCATCCTACGGCTTGGCTAAGGAACTACAACCAGCTTTTTTTTGAAAGCAATCTCTCCTCGTTGCTTGCGTGAAATTGGTCAGACAAAGAGCCGGATAATCCTTATATTAATTCTGAGGGGTGATTATCTTCGCTGTCATAAACCCTGAGACAACCAGTAACGTCTTGAGCTAAACAGGTTAACAGTTTCACATTTACATCAAGCCTCTCCCAGCGACGCTTTTCTAAAAAATCAACTGGACTTTCTTGTCTTTTTTCCTTGAAAACCTTTCGCTTCTCCCCCCAAGAAGCCTCTTCAATTCTTTCCGCTGTCAAGGAGCAAAACCAAGAAAAGTCCAGCTGACTTTTGGAAAAGAACCTCTGGGGACAACCGTGACCTGGATGATGGAGAATCTCTGTGGACCTCAAGCTTTCCCCCATTTCTGGCCCTCTCTCTCTCAGGCAGGGTCACATGGTCAGTTCCTGTGCAGGATTAAACCCTGGCTCTTCCAAGTTCAGCAGATCTCAGGGTTAATCTGATAGCGGTTGTTATGAATGACGCCCTGTAAATATCTCCTCGTTCTAGTAGGTTCCAGCCTTAAAAGACTCATGTGTAGCGGTGTGTACCAACCTTCAGGACAGAGACGTAAGGCGTCCCATCCGGCCCGTATTTGCTTCCGTTGACTTCCACATGTTTCAGCCACTGGATGTGAGGCTGAGCATCGCTGTACACTTTGCAGTGGAATTCCACGTTGCTCCCAACCACCACCGTTTGATTGGCAGGCAGCCCTGCCTGGAGAATGGGGCGGTGTGGAGATCGTTCTGCAAAGAGGAGAGGAAGCTAACTTATTATGGGCAAGGAGTAAACCCCTCTACGCAACATTTGTCCAATAAAAGCTCTCTGTCAGCACACCACGACCCTGCGGCTAGCTGTTGCAAGAGGCCTATGTAACCACAATACCGAGGTGTGATATAATATTTGCCTGCATAAGCCGTTGCTCAATTCCCGTCACTCCTGTGGAAATGAAGAGGTGGACCGAAACCGGAATGAAAAACCACAAAGTACACGCTTGCCTTACTCAGTCTGGCTTCACAAATGGGCAACAAGGTTTGCTATCATCAGCTACCATCACTATACTAGGAGCGGAATAAACTGGATGTAGCAAACTCCTCTGAAGAAGTGTGGATGTAATTTTTGAAACATGTCTGGTGACACACCAATTTTCTCAGGGTTTCATCCGTTGGATTAAAATGTGGTATCTGAATTAATTGAACTGGAATGACTCCAATTGGATTCATGTCTTCATCTATTTTGATCTCTCATATAATCCAACGAGGATGCTCTTCTCGTGTTGAATTGGGCCTTAGGAGTGTTGACCCGTTTTAGTTCATAGTCAAAGGGCATTTAGGATATAAAACTGGGGCTGCAGTGGAAGCTATGAAGCTATTATATGCAGACTTTGCCTACATTTTCCTCTCAATAAATTATCAATTCAATAAACTGTAGTATATCTTAATATGTTTCCAGATCTAAGAAATCAACACTTTAAAATAAAATTATGAATCCTCTTAAAATGCTTGGATAATGTACTGTTTGTATCTTTAACGCTCTAAACAATATAAAGTTTATATTGATATAAACATCTTATATCGACTAATAAAAATAGTTAAAATAAATATGGCATCTAGAGTGATGCATATAGTCAGAGTAAGCCCTACGTTAATTCCTCACTAATACTTAAAGAAAATCAATACAATATTGAGAACATTTTTATGGGACAGATATTTCTCATCCAGTTTTCTTTATCTGGGCAATTAAAAAAAACAACCTTCTTTATATAGAAATAATAATTTAAAGAAGGGGTTTACAGATCAAGAGGACTCTAACTGGGGACTACCACTATGTGTAGTTTTTAAAATTGTGTGTGCATTAATTTTTAGGTTATTTTTCTTTTGCGGTAGAGATATAGTATATTACCTTTTTATTATTATTACCTGCCACCAGAAAAATCCTGCTTCCTCTAAATTCTGAAAACCTGAGACTGAAGGGAAATTGGAAAACTGGTTCTCAGACTCCTTCAATTCAGCAAATCTACTTTCCAACAGTTCCTCCAACTTTAGAAGTGCAGTAGCCGAGAGGAATTCCTTCTTTCTTCAAGAGGATGCAGTTTGGGGCAGGTGGAGAACAGCTGTCCATTCCGTGAATGCCAAGTGGCACCGCATGGATCTTGGACGCAAAGCTTAAAACAACACTTACCAAGAACATCGAGTTGGTACGTATGCCAGATTACACCGTATTTGTTCTGGACCACACAGGTATAGTTGCCGCGGTCTGACGGAACGACGCTCTCCATGACGAGGCTCCACTGCTGATGCCGTAGCTGAAAAAAGGAAGAGAGACCAGTAGAAGCTTGCCTGGGTCCTTCAGAAAGTGACTTCTTAGCAAGAACCTTCTTTTTCTGGAATCGAAGTGTGAGGTGCATAAAAGTGGGTGTCGCTCGCTCTCCCGTATGCGCCAGAAACAGGGCCGGGACTAGATCTCCTTCCCCAGTTTTGGAATGAGAACCCAACAAGAGTTGATGTTCACAGTAATGGGTGGGAGACCATCACAGGGAGACCCCAAGTTAGAAGCAAGGAGAAATTTCCTAATGGTAAGAACAAGGACTTGCCTGACGGAGTTGTGGATGCTGCATCAAAAGTCGACTGGACAACCAATGGATCAGGAGGGTAAAAAGGCTCCGGACCCTTCCGGTCTTTTGATCCTATGTCCTAAAGTCACCAGTGTTGGGAAACCCTGATCTAGACGGTGTTCCCTCATTGGCAGCATAAAACTGTGCAGATGCGCTACTGAATACCCAACAGCATCTTGACACATAACTCTCCATAATATCCATAATAACGCTGTGTGTTTTCTTGAAAAATACAACCCACCTGGATGAAAGTGATGAAGTCAACTACCATACTTGGATTTAAGTTAGAAGTTGGATTTATGTCGGAAAACCTCATACTTATGTTTAAGAAAGTTCACATTAACATATACCATATAACAAAAATCAATATCTATCTATCTATCTATCTATCTATCTATCTATCTATCTATCTATCTATCTAATCTATTCTATCTATCTATCTATCTATCTAATCTATTCTATCTATCTATCTTCTATCTAATCTAATCTATTCTATCTATTCTATCTATCTATCTATCTATCTATCTATCTATCAATCTATCTATCTATCATTCTATCATCTACCTACCTACCTACCGTATCTACCTACCATATCTACCTACCTACCTACTGTATCTATGTCAGTCTGTCTGTCTGTCTGTCTATTGATCGATCTATCACCTACCTATCCACATACATGCTCATTAAATAGATTACTTCCTTTCTATATCAACACTTACTACTAGTGTAACCTCTGGGTCTAATTCACAAGCCTCCAAAGCATCTGGTGCATTTCAAGAATACCCTCAAAGCAGCTCATGGAGTTTCAGGAAGCAACCAGGGGGCGGGGTGTCTACTTATTTATTCTAAAAAGCGGTTCCCTCAAGAGAAAAACGAAGGCCAGCTCTGGGTCTGAGTAAGCAAGATGGGTGGCCACCCAGTGCCACCCACGAATGAGGGCTTACTTTGATGCCTCCAATGCGGTGCTCCCCTTTGAATTCTTTGCCATTTTTCAGCCAGTATATGGAAGGAAGCGGCTTGCCAGCTGACGGGCACCGGAAACGAACAGTATTGGCAGCTGGTACCGCCAAAAGCTTCTTGTCCATCCTGTCACGATGGGTCCAATAAGGTGCAACTGCAAAGACAAAGCAGAATGAGAGACGTCACCTGAGAAAGACTGCAGGCCTTCAGCTCCTGAGGTAGAGGGTCTTATCTCCACCAGCTTCCTACCAGGGATGGCCTTCTAAGCTGAACTGAACAGCGGCTTCCCGCAGTTGTAGGCAGCATTATCAAAACTGAAGGTTGCTATAGAACTAGATAAATGGCAGAAACTCTGGGACAGAAATTATAAATTAACAATGTCAACAGGGCATAAAGAAAATCTGTATTAGATGTTCTATAGATGGCATCTTGCGCCAGCAAGACTGACAAAGATGTTTAAAGATAGACCAGCTAAATGCTGAAAATGCCACCAGACAGCAGGAACATATTACCGTATGTGGTGGACATGTACAGAAGCCAAAAGATACTGGACAAAAATACATACATGGTTGGAAACGATGATAAAACAACATATCGATTTAAAACCTGAAATATTTCTTCTGGGGATGATGCCTGAAACTTATAGTAAAGAAAATGTATATTTAATCATTCATGTATTAACCGCAGCTAGAATAGTATTTGCACAAAATTGGAAGGGCGAAAAGATTCCGACAGAAGAGAATGTGATCAAGAAAATATTAAAATGTGCAGAAATGAATAGATTAACTTTGGCAATTAAAAAAAAAAGAACAAATTAAATATTATAAGATATGGGATTTATTTTACCAGTGGTTGGAAATTTAAGATGGATAATGTTAAGATTAACTAGGTATAGTTGGAAATAAGAATATAGTTACTGACATTACAGTAAGAAATTTGAATTAATTATAACTGTAATTGTAATTATTATTGCACAAGATATGTACCCAGTCGACACACTGTTTGAATGGATGGATTTGTTGTTAAAATTTAAAAAAAAAATTTTTTTTAAAAAAACCTGAATATTGATTGGGGTTTGGAGGATTACAAGTCACCCATCCTTGGGTAAAATGATCCCTCCATGAGCACAATTAAGCTTAGCATGAAGATGAGAAAAACAGGTTGAGTGAATTCACCTCTAGTCACTTGAAAGCTAAATGTCTGTGGAGATTTCTCAGTCATTCAGGTCACAAAGGTCTCAAAGATGCTTTTTCAAAAGGCAACTGGACTTTCTGGGGTTTTTTCTTTGAAAACATTTTGCTTCTCATCCAAGAAGCTTCTTCAGTTCTGCAGGATCCAATCTGGGTCAGTCACCAGACCAGAGATTTTGTCTTCTGAGCTTTTGGACTCTTGCTGGAGTTTGAATTTGGGGGAATTCTTCTCTCTTCAGTTCTGACTGAAGCGAAACATTTTCAAAGGAAAACAACAACAACCAAGAAAGCCCAGTTGCCTTTTGGAAAAACACCTTGAGATGGTTGCAAAGCCAACATCACAGAAAACAAGCTGACTTCTTTTTCTTGTTAGTGTTGGTACAAACAAACGGGTGAGCAGTAAGTTCACTCAAAGTAGGGATTTGGTCAGAGGAAAAAAAAGACAAGTCAGCACATCCAGAGAAGACGCCGTTGCATTGCTGGTGTTGACCTGCAGACAATGAGGAAACGAAAGCTGATGGGGCAGGTTGTCTAATTGCCTTGCCCAGACCAGGAAGGGTAGAACAGCTACACCGGCTCACAAATCCAGTTTTTACACTCCAACAAATCCCTCTATCCACTTTTGTTCAAAATGAAGTGTCAGTTTTCTCTCGTTTTGAGGGAAGACAGACACTAGAGTAACTTAAATTTGCTCAGTACAAACTCCAAAACTTCCAACAAAAGAGGAATGCAATAAACAAAGAGCTATTGAGCTTGTTATTGCCATCAAATTATTAGATTTCCTGACAGTTTCCTGACAGAATAATTAACCAGTGGAACAGCTTTGCCTCCAGAAGTTGTGGATGCTCCATTGCTGGAGGTTTTCAAGAACAGATTGGACAGCCACTTGCCCAGAATGGTCTAGGGTCTCCTGCTCGAACAGGGGGCTGGACTAGAAGACCTTCAGGGTCCCTTCCAACTCTGTTATCCTGACCATATCTTATCCTAGCAGGTACCTCCAATTGTCTAGTACAGAGGTCTCCAAACTTGGCAACTTGAAGACTTGTGGTCTTCAACTCCCAGAATTCTCCAGCCACTTCCTGGCTGAGGAATTCTGGGAGTTGAAGTCCACAAGTCTTCAAGTTGCCAAGTTTGGGGACCCCTGATCTAGTTAGTAGTCTTTTGATCAGGCATTTGTGGTGAAAGGCACTTCAACTTCATTACTGACTAATGAACAACATCTATGACGCCTCCTACTGAAAGGAACAAATGCACTGAATCCCACAGCACAGCCTTGAGAAATGACAGAAGTACAAACCATCATGGCTAAAGGGAGAAATGCCACATTTCCACTGCATCTCACAACTTGTATATTTTGTCTAAATAAGCACTGTCAATGTATGTATTTAAGAAGCTGCCTCCATCAAAATGGAGATCTGTAGATTTACAAAAACAAGCAAAACTCCAGCTTTGGTCCAGATCGACTGACTTGAGCTCCAGATGATAATAAGTTGTCCTCTTTCAGTCAAGAACTTGGAAAGGAAGTTTCCTTGTAAGAACAGGTTTTTAGATCCTCTGAGTGTTTGTCTATGAACAAAGCAAATTTGCCCCCAAAGTATGGGCAACGCACCCTACAAGCACGATAGATTATTTTTTTGCAATCATAGCTATCCCAAAGATGCTTTTTCGAGAGACAACTGGACTTTCTTGTTTTTCTTTGAAGACCTTTCGCTTCTCATCCAAGAAGGAGCTTCTTCAAAGCGAAATGCCTTCAAAGAAAACCCAGAAATCCAGTTGCCTCTTGAAAAATCACCTTTGGGACAACCATGACCTGGAGGACAGAGAATCTGCATAGACCAAGTGTCCCCAAACTGGGCAAGTTTAAGATGTATGGACTTCCACTCCCAGAATTCCTGAGCTGACATGACTGGAGGAGGAATTCTGGGAGTTGAAGTCCACAAGTCTTAAAGCTGCCAAGTTTGAGGATCCTACCTTAGACATTTATCAGAGCTATCATAGAATAAAGTTTCAGGCTGGGGTTTCAAGTGAAAAGTTGATACTACAATCAAACTGTAACCATGTTCCTGAGTGAACCCCACGAGGCAACAGAAGGAAATAAGCAGACCGAAGCATTCCCCTTCTTTATCTCTGGGGGATCAAAGCTGAACCTCGGATGACGGACAGGAAATGTGACTCTCCTGAGGTCAGAAGGTCCTGGGGAGGAGCCATTGGCTGGAGAGGGCAGCGGATCTGCTGAGTTGGCTCCAACAGTCCCAACAAAGGAAATGTTTTGGGGCAGCTATAATTACTGGCAAGGGATCTTGCTGTGGGATTTCCCAATTAAGAGTCAATTCAGAGCACAGACCCAAAGCAATTTCATGGGATGGTGGCTTCGGAGAACAATCAGCAAACGCCAGACTACATCCCCACAATGAGCACAAAGCCACGAAGATTAGCTTTGCCGGCTGGACAAAATGCTGATCACACGGACACAACTGGACAGTCTGTCTCCTGCCCAATCGCAAAAAACAACAACACGAAATGCCATCTGCGGCTGGAAAATGTAAGAGCACGCAACCTACGCTTTCTGAAGTGAATCTTCCCGGAGACTGAAGCCTGAAGGAAAGGAAAGACAAGACAAAGAACCCAGAACACCTGTAGATGTTCACCAAAATAGTTAAGAAGAACACACAGAGAGAAGGTGACTAAAATAAGAAAAACACCTGGTGAGAACATTTCTTAGATGCCCTAGAACAGGAGTCTCCAAACTTGGCAACTGTTCAAGACTTGTGGACTTCAACTCCCAGAATTGCCCAGCCAGCATGAATAGCTGAGGAATTCTGGGAGTTGAAGTCCACAAATCTTAAAAGTTGCCAAGTTTGGAGACTCCTGTTCTAGAAAACGCTCAAGGCGGATAGGGAAGCAATCTCCTTCCAAAATATTGTTCTGAAACAAGGCTGGGCAATTCAGAGTTTGGATAGGGCCTCCAGTGCCTCAACATCAGACTGTCAAACCTGGTTTATCAAATGACAAGGTTTCGGAGTTTCAGGGAGAGAGTGAATTGTTTGTCCCAAGAGGCTTGTCTTCACATTTTTAACCTTAGCATTTCTCCCCAAACAAATGTTCTCCCCAAGTGTTTCCAAACTTCCCAACTTGTCCATGTATAGACCGACCTCCCCCCCCCCTCTCTCTCTCTCTCTCTCTCTCTCTCTCTCTCTCTCAAAAAAAAGTATGGAAACTGAGGGCAAATAACCAAGAAAATGAAAAGTATTTATTTCTAAGAGTGGTCCTAAAGAATGTACTGATGAACAGTTGGCCAACAATTGGCCAGCGTCAATGTAGCAAGAATGGTTCTTTGATTGCCACAAAATGTTGGCCAGTCTTGCCATCACTGGACTTATGCACACAGTTTTGGCTCATCCACACCAACCTTCAACCTGATGCTTTAGGTCATGTGGCTACATGCCACGTATGCAATAACTGCACCCTTGTGTAATATATGACACTGCAATCATTCAGTCTGGCTGAACCAAGTCATGACACAGCAGCCTGAACCATCTCACTTGTTTTAACTCATCCCCTAGAGAGCCTTTTATTCTGAGGTTTTATGCTTGCACTCCTTAAAGGGATATTCGTGCCGGGGAACTAATCTGTGTTTTGGTGTGCAAGAGAGACCACAATAAGAGACAGAGCTGCTTCTTCCCACTTTTGCAAACGGTTTATCATTAAGCAATAGCCCTTTCTCTGCCCGAGCATTCTGGTAATATTTAAAAAAATGAAACTTTTTTTTTTTTTAAAAAAGAGATTTTGGGCTAATGCAGTTTTTCTCAACCTTGGCAACTTTAAGTCTTGTGGACTTCAACTCCCAGAATACCTCAGCCAGCTGGGAGTTGAAATCTACACGCCTTGAAGCTGCCAAGATTGAGGGAAAACTGGCCTAATGAATAGCTTCCTTTTCCCTGGCGCTAAGGGGAAAAATAAGAAGCCGAAAAGCCGGAGAAGGGGGGCGGGGGGGGGGGGCTAGGCTAACTGGGCTATTGGGCTTCTTGGCTCCGGGTCTCTTTTCCCAGCTGCGTAGCTTTCATCCTCGTCTGTTTATTTCTTCCCAGCATCTGTAGGCCATCTTAGCGTCTCCAACTGCAGCCTTCTCAGAGAGGGAAGAGGCCGGTCTGGGCAGTCAAGGGGCTCTCCTGTTTCTCAAGGCTGAAACTCCAGCCAGGTAGCTACTCACAGGCCTACTACAGGTGCGGGGGAAAGCAGGTTTTGCCCCCAATCCAAGTAAGCGTTCGACAGAGGGAGTAGGCAACGCAGAAGGGTGGAAAGAAGGGAAACATTTGTATACATGGCAAGCGGATTATATTTTTATCCTTGGCAAAGTTTTTTTTTTAAAAAAAAAAAAGTAATTCAAGCTCTGTTTACAAACTGTGGGGAACGGGGGTGGTTTTAAAATTAGGTGTTTTAAAAAGAAAGACAAACAACTTGATCAACATTCGGGGTCTTGCAAAAGGAAAGGCATCGCCATTTGACAGACCCGGAGAGATTGTTGTAAACTATGGTGGCCTTACTAACTCATAACTGGCTGCTTACTATTCATTTCCTCCTTTGTGCTCTTCCTTCCTTCCTTCTTCCTCCCTCCCTCCTTTCCATCCATTCATCCACCCACCTCTCATCTCTCTTCCTTCCTTCCTCCCTCCTTTCCACGCACACATCCATCCATTGATTCATCCATCCATCCATCCACCTGCCATCTGTCTTCCTTCCTTCCTCATCCATCCATCTGCCATCTCTTCCTCCCTCCTTTCCATCCATCCATCTATCCATCCCTTTCACAAAAAGGGAGAAGGAGCTTCAAGGACAGAAGAGGGTTGCTTGCTCTAAACTCCCTTTGGGTGCTTCTTCTGAGCAAATGTTTTCTCCCAGGAGGCTGAGAGTCAGGACCACAGACTTTCTCTCCAACCCCAGGAACTCCCAACAGAGGTAAACAGAAAATGCCCCTTTACCAGAGGGATCTGATTCAGGACTGGCTTTTATAAATGCTGGCTCTCTCGCGCCTTTGCTTCTCTTGGATGATATTTACCTCGGTCTTCAGAGTCGTCATCTTCATCATCATCTTCCTCTTCGTCATCCCCCGATGACGGGGATTCTTGAAATGGAAAGAAAAACAGGTGTAGGAAGCCAGGTTGTAAATATGTATATAGATGTATATAGATGCAAATAGAAACAAATATGTAACCAACATTACATTAACAACGTAGGAAAAAAGGAAAAATTAACTGTTATATTTATTTCCATGCTATACTATGTATGGCTAAAATGACAGCCAAGAAAGGCGCACTGTGTTCAACTGTTTTTAATGTTTACTTAATAAATATTTAATAAAAAAGAAGAAAGAAAGAAAGAAAGAAAGAAAGAAAGAAAGGAAGGAAGGAAGGAAGGAAGAAAGAAAGAAAGAAAGAAAGAAAGAAAGAAAGAAAGAAAGAAAGAAAGAAAGAAAGAAAGAAAGAAAGAAAGAAAAGAAAGAAAGAGGTGAGAATTGTTTCCGAAAACAATATTCTGGATACACTTTTGCAATCATCATATAATTAGTGGGACCTCAGCAAATATTTTCTCCATGAAAAAATATCTCCTCCGTGAGGCTTTCCTTTCTTCATGGCCTCATCACACATCTCCAAATATGCCCAAGGTACAAAATGTCACCAAAAATGGATTTAAAGCATAAAGTCGTCCGCAAACGGAGGGTAGACTAGAAGACCTCCAAGTTCCCTTCCAACCCTATGTTTTATGTTCCAGCCTGGCCTGGCCTGGCCTGTGTCTTAGAGGGCACCTTTGCGTTTGAACTGACATTAGACTGACATGCTTCCATTCGGGGTCCAAATCAGCCATGTTCTTTCTGCACCCATTTCCTCTCTATTTATTTTAATTCCCCTGCGTATCCTCCTTTCACCTCCTCCTCCTCCTCCTCCTCAGAAAAGCTGGCCGTACAATGAGAGGCAGCCCCCTGCTTTTTCCAGCTTAGAAAACCAACCTTTAAAAGAATAGAATTAAATAAAGCACAATAAAATTAAATCAACATTATACACACTCTAACTCACGAGTTGTTCAGTTAGACTTTTCGTTTGGTGAGCATATTGAAGCGATTTGGCTTTCCAAATCTGGAATAATCTAACATCGTTTTAAATAGGGTGAGGTGTGTGTGTGTGTGTGTGTGTGTGCGCGCGCGTGTGTGTTTGTCCGTGTTCAGCACAAACATTCTTTTCATGAAGAAAACCATTAGAATTCTCTGCAAATGAAATGCCAGGAGAGTCAGTCCAATTCTCTGGACTGATTTCAATCTGCATTGTCGCCTGAAACTCTTTTCTACAGCTGCCTACTGAGAACATGTGAACGTGTTTGCTTACAGAGGCTTTGGAAATATTTATTAAGAAACCTCAACGTTCCTCGGAAGGGCGTGCCAGCAATATATAATATAGCATTTCTTTTCTCTTTTCTGTATGATCACGGTTGCATGAGGTCACACCAAGTAAAACGGCTTCCACGGAGCCTTTTTTAATTAACCATTATTTCTTTTTCCCGTTTGAAACCGTCATTTAGAAGCTGAAGCAATTTAAGCTTCATTAAGATGTACTTCAAGTCCTGGGGAACTCCCAGGTTTGGACACGGATACTTCCAAAAAAAAGGAGATTTGGCAACCTAGATAGGACAACTTTTATTTTTCTGTTCTTTTGCCTGGGACTACATAAGTTTCCTCCCTTTTTCTTCTCTCCATATAATGTAATGTTTGATTAGAGGGATGCGGTGGCTCAGTGGCTAAGATGCTGAGCTTGTCGATCAGAAAGGTCGGCAGTTTGGCGGTTCAAATCCCTAGCGCTGCGTAACGGAGTGAGCTCCCGTTCCTTGTCCCAGCTTCTGCCAACCTGGCAGTTGGAAAGCATGTAAAAAAATGCAAGTGGAAAAATAGGGACCCCTTTGGTGGGAAGGGAAGAGCATTCCATGCGCCTTCAGTGTTTAGTCCTGCCGGCCACGTGACCACGGAGACGTTCTCGGACAGCGCTGGCTCTTCGGCTTTGTCACGGAGGTGAGCAGCGGCCCCTAGAGCTGGAAACGACTAATGTTTGGTTTGCCTGCCCCAAAAGTTTACTCTCCGTAGAGATCATTGTTTCCAAGAGGAAAGAGAGAATTCTACGCTGGTTCTGGATCTGCAAACCTCCTCATCAGTCTTGCCTGCTATGCTCCTTTTGAGATACGGTACAATTTTGCAGCGAAACAGTTTGGAACAGTTACAGGGGCAGTTGGTGTAAAACAAAAAGAATTTTAATTAAGCAAGTAACAGGTGGAAGATCATGAAAGAGAGATGCAAGCTGGAGCGAAAGAGAAATTTCTCCAACAGTTAGAATCATTCATCAGCGTGCGACAGTTTGGCTCCGGGCATCGTGGGTCCTCCTTCCCTGGAGGCTCTCAAGAAGAGACTGGGCAGCCACTTGTCAGGAACGGTATGTGGGGTCTCCTGCTTGAGCAGGGGGTTGGACTAGAAGACCTCCAAGGTCCCTTCCAAGTTGGATGCTGGTGTTCTGAATACGGCTGCCCGAAAGATTTGGAAAAACAAAACCCAGCAGATTTTGGGACATCACTCAATTTCTCCAGTTGAGAAACTTTCTCAAGGAAATTGAGACATCTGTGAGAACCCCCTGTGGAGCTGATAAAGTGATTAAATCGAGACTTGAGTACAGACGATGGGTGGCCTCCCTGCTATCTTCATGTTTGAGATCCTGGGATTGTCCCTCTCGGCTTCGGGCTCTGGGTTCTGTTCCGGGAGGGCCTTATCTTCCCTTTCCTGTTTACTGTCGCTGGAATCAGGCACATCATGAGCGAATCAACGTGGTTTTGGCATGGGGCAATGTGGAAAGAAGAGAGACGGCAGCCTTCCCGGAGGTTTCCGCCTGGGGATGTGTGAACCCATGAGGTAGGAGGACCAAAGAAGTGGAAGCCTTCAACTCAAAGGCCCATAAGCCCCCATGGGGAATCATACGAAGAACCGTTGCAGGAACTGGGTGTGTCTAGTGAGCCTAATGAAAAGAAGGACCAGGGGAGACAGGAGAGCAGCCTTCCAATCTCTCAGGGGCTGCCCCAAAGAAGAGGGAGTCAAGCTATTCTCCAAAGCACCTGAGGATGGAAGCTATTCAAGGAGAGAAGCAACCTAGAACTAAGGAGGAATTTTCCTGACAGTTGGAACAATTAACCAGTGGAACAACTGGCCTCCAGAAGTTGTGAATGCTCCAACGCTGGAAGTTCTTAAGAAGAGGTTGGACAACCATTTGTCTGAAGTGGTGTAGGGTTTCCTGTTTAAGCAGGGGGGTGGACTAGAAGATCTCCAAGGCCCCTTCCAACTCTGTCATTCTATTCTATTCTATTCTATTCTATTCTATTCTATTCTACCTCCTCGTCCTGGTTGGGCAGGATTAATCCATGAACCGGGTTATCTTAGTATATGGGAAGGGTTCCCAACCGGTGAAGAGTTCCAACTGACCAGACTTCAACTCCCAGAATTCTCAGCTCTGGCCATTCTGAGTGTGGAATGCTGGGAAGTGAAGTCCACATAAATAGAAGTCATTCCAGCTGGGAAACACTGGTGTAGGGCAGGGCTCTCCAACCTTGGCACCTTTAAGACTTGTGGACTTCAGCTCCCAGAATTCCACAAGTCTTAAAGTTGCCCAAGTTGCCTGGTCTGCTGGCTGAGGGATTCTGGGAGTTGAAGTCCACAAGTCTTAAAGTTGCCAACGTTGGAGACCCCTGGTGTAGGGCATCGAAATGTAGATGATGGGGTTTTTTTTTTCAGGTGTGCGTTGCGCAGGGCTATAAAATAGTGGTGGGACGTCAGTTGGGCAGTTGTGACTCCTAAAATGGCCCCATTATCGATCTGCTCTGCATCTCTCTCTCTTCCCTGGAGATTAAAAATGGATGGAGGGTGGCTGCTTTGAGACAGAGTACACCCAAAGAAAAGGATTGTCTGTTTATCTCTCCACAGAAATGTCCCCTGACTTTTTTAAAAAAATGTCCCCAGGGACTCAGACAGGGGAGCTTTAAAAGTTGAAGATTAAACCAAGAGGGCACTAAACTCCACATTAAGTAACTACTGTATGTTAAATATTAATTTGATACGATCTTTTGCGTATGACATGAGATACATGGTGCAGCAGTAAAACATGATTTTTTGGGTGGGGGGGAATAGGATTGCATGTTTCCACTGGCCCACACGGCTTTGAAATGCGGAAAAGGCCTTTATTTACAGTCCCAAAGCTGCTTGTTCAGCTACGACTTTTCAAGGATCCAGCATCATTTATGCAGACCTATTTAAGACGCCAAGGAAAATCATTAAAAGCAGATTATGCTAATGTAAAGCTATTGGTACCAGTTGCAAACTGAGGGATTCTCCAGGGCAGCCAACCCTCCTCAGCCACGCTCGGAAGGTAGCATCACAGAGGCCAACGGCCTTCTCAGTTTCCTTCTGCCTTTTTACGGGATGGTTTTAAATGTTTAAAAGGGGAGGGGGGATTGTCTGAAATGGCATAAGGTTTCCTTCTTGAGCAGTTGGTTGGGCTAGAAGACCTCCAAGGTCCCTTCCACCTCTTGTTATTCTGAAGCAGGGGTCTCCAGCCTTGGCCACTTTAAGACTTGTGGACTTCGACCTCAAGCAAAGCTGGCTGAGGAATTCTGGGAGTCGAAGTCCACCAGTCTAAAGTGGCCACGGTTGGAGACCTCTGTCCTGAAGCACCGACCCAACCACATCCTTTCAAAAGGAACGAGATGGCTGACTGAACGTAAACACAGGTGGTCCCCCAAGAAACCTCACCTGTGCTACTACAGGGGTGCCTTATATCCAGCCAGACCCAGCAGAACATCTGTTTTCTAAACAAGCAAGGACATCTTGTGAGCCTACGTGTGGCATCTCTTACGGAAGATCTTAGATGGGTCCACAACGGTTGCTTGGGCTTTGGCGACAGCAAAATTGGGCTTTGGCACTAGTCAAGGTTGAGGCTGCAGTCTGGACCTCAGGGCTGTTGAGGGCTACAAGGTACCTGCTAGATTTTCAGCGCTCCTGACGCTGCCTCTCCTTGTCAAAGTAGCCGACTCTTTGGAAAAACGGCAGCCAGCTTAAGAGGCTTTTGAGCTCAGAAGAAACGGCGGGTTGCAAATAAACAGAGACACATATTTCTGCTTCCCCTCTGAGTCTGGTTTCTCTTCAGATGGTATATCAATCTTCTTCATTCAGCGGCAACAATGGGTTTTGGCTCCTGGTTTGTCTCGCACCATTTCCCAAGCATATTAAGCTACTGGTTGTTCCAGTTCCAATTCCTCTTGGCCTGAACATTCACAATGCGGGGTCCAATCGTTTGTCTAAATAAGGAACTGAACTGTATCTATGCCTTTCTGCCTCAGGTCTTCATTCACAAACAGGGGCTGCTCCGTTCAATAGGCTTCGCGTCGCTTGCAGAATGCGGTTGAAGGCAGAGAAAGAGACAGGGATCACGTGGCTTAACTTGGGCTTAACTTGGGCCTACCTTGATTCATCAATCTTACATTCAAGGGAGTCTCTTTTTACAGGAAGACATTAATCTGTACCACTTTGTAAAGGATGAGAAGATAAGAGAATCCGAATCTATGGAAGAATGCATGACGTTTTTTTTTAAAAGGTACGAGGCTTAGTTATTCTCCCCTTTAAAATTCATGGACTATCTCCTGATTTTATAATTTGGAGTCTATTCGGATTCGTGTCACTGGATTATAGCAATCATTTTCTCAGTTATGTATATTAAAAGTTTGGATTGTCCTTTCAGTCTTTTGTTTTCGCTTGGTATGCAAACTCTTAGGACTGGCAAGTTTGAATAGAATAGAATAAGAGAGTTGGAAGGGACCTTAGGCAGGAAACCCTACGGCATGACTTTATTCCATTTTAATGCAAATTAATGAAGAAGTGTGCCAATGATCCAGGTATCTTCCGAGTGTTTGGAGAAAGAAAAACGTCTGATGACACTGAATTTAGCTTCTGGGGGAATTTACAGTGTGAAATCCTCTCTCTTCCTTCCACAAGAGTACTTTAAATCAGTTTAGAGAACAATGGGTGTGTGGAATAAAGAAGATCAGAACTCAAGTTTTAATCTAATCAGGCTGAACTCCTGAGAAGTACTGGAGTTCCTGCTGGGCTATCGGGTTCAAAACTCGCACAATAATGCAAATATATATTTTAAACAGAAATACTAATAGAAATATACTGTATAATGTTGACCCTTTTACCACAAAGAGCTTTCATTATGGGGTCATCTTAAAATAGCAGGTACATATTTTGGGGAGGGTAAAATGATTTTTTATCTTACTTTGCATCATGTAGATTTTGAAGAAGGTTTTTAAAAACGTGCAGAATTCCAAAATAAGAGTTTGATTCAGACTGTTTCTTGGCAATTAAACTCAAACTTTTGCTATTCAAATTATTTGGATCAGGTTACGAACAAATTATCTAAGCTTCGGACACCAGTACCCCCCCCCCTTTTTTTTTCAATAGAAAACCAATAAAATGTCCCACTTCATCGATTAAACTGATTAGTAAAATTAATAAACCTCCCTGTAATTATTTACATGACCTCCAGAACAACGTATTAAAACGCCCCGCCCTGGTAAACACATGAAAGAATGCTTGAAATAACATGAACACTACAGTCTTAAAGTTAGGTTAATACAATAACCGGTTTGCACGTACAAATACAGAACATCTCGGAGAATGTTTGGTAACGGTTTGCATGCGCTCATGTGGGATATTTTTATGATCCCTGCTGGGAATAAAAAATAGGATTTGAATAACATATTCAGACAACTACCCTGAATCCCTTTCGCCTTCGTCCTTCCATGTTTCAGAGAGCATTCCACCACTTGCGTGAACAGTAAGCCTAAATTTAACTTATTTTAGCTTAGAATTCAAGGGTACATAATGTGAAATTCCAGGTACAGGGTGGATGCTCTTGGCATCTTTTCCGAAAGTTGTTCCTGAATTCTGCTGTTTAATATGCTAAAGGGGAGAAATACTACAGATGCAAAGGAGAATTACATTATTAAACAATCTGGTGCAGGGATCATATATTGGATTAACAGACTGCACACACACACACCAGTTTAGGCCCACAGCCTTGCAGCTCACCAGAAACCATCGTTTCTCAAACCCAACTCACAGAGAGAAATTAGGAGGAGACATTTTGAATTCTTGGAGGAGACGGAGTTAAAAATCTAACCAATAAATACGAACAAAAATGAAATTGATATAATTCCATTCCAATTTCTTTGCCTTTGCCTCTTTACTTACTAAAATGCATTCAATCAATAAGCAAAAACGATGCACTCTACTGTCACCCAAAGAAAGAACCGACTTTAACTGAGACCTTGTGAGAAATCTATATATTAATCCTTTCTCATCAAAGCCGAGTTTGACAAAAGTACCAACTCACATCGCTGGGGTAAAACTCTTCCAAAACGAGCCTTTAAGTAGGATCAAGAGTCTTGTGCGAACACAAACATAAGGAATGGCAATAACCTTTATTTACTGTCAAAAAGAAACCCAGACTTACCAGTAAGAAGCGCCATACACAAAGGGAAACAATAAAAGGATTAAAATTCACAAAGAGGTAAGGGAACTGGTTAATCTGAGCTGTGATGGAGCCGGATTGAACAAGTGTAAATATTTAACGACTTGGAAGCCTCGACATTTCGCCCTGCAAAGCAACCCCAATTGTGCATTTCTCTGCAGACAAATCCGCCAGTAAGAGGCAAACTTTCCCCTCACCAAACCGGCCAGGATAATTTAGCATTAAGGAGGCTATTAAATCTGTGTGAGAAGCCACAGAAAAAAGGGCATCACAATAGAGCGGGCGTAACAGGCTCGATGTCCCCAGCTGGCACGGCCACAGCGGATCCTGTATTCAGATGTTATTCTATCTCTCCTCTCCTAAATGTAGATGGCCCAGGCCTGAATCTTGCCAGGGTGAAGGCAGGCACTCCCGCACGGGAACACGGGAAATGTTAACTGGCTAGCCAGGCTGGAGGGTCTTTCATAGACCACCCTGGCAGGCCGAAGCAGGTTGCTTCAATAGCAAGCTGGAACAGGAGGGGGTCCAAATGTTCAACTGGAAGACCATCAAAGATCCCATTCAACGTTCCTCCTCTGGCTCGGGATATGGGGAGCCATCCTAAGAGCCACCAGGGATCCCTTATTGAAGGCAAACTTTGACGAAGACCTGAGGTGGCATTCTAACATTTGTGGCTGTCCAATGACAAAACTAAGGAGACTTCAGACTGACGTGGCTGACTCACCTGAGGGTGGTTTTCTTGCAGATGTTTCCTTACTCAAACTGGGTGAACATCATCAGTGCTGGTGTTGCTAGCTTAGAGATGATATTAGCTAGTTTGGGTAAGGAAACATCTGCAAGAAAACAACCAGACTGATGCATTAAAGACCCCACAGTCCTCCTCCTCCTCCTCTACAAACCCCACTCCCCTCTATCATTGAGGATGCTACCTTGTTTGGGTCATGAAACATCTGCAAGAAAACAGGCAAACTCAGAGACCCTCAAGGATCCCACAGTCGTCCTCCATGCCTCCTCCTCCTCCATTCTAACACTGATGATGTTCCCTAGTTGGGTCATGAAACGTCTGCAAGAAAACCACCAAGCTCAGAGAGCACCAAGGACCTCTAATTTCAACCCTGAGCTACAAATAAATTCTCCTTTATTGCTACTGACTCACCTGTAACTCGGACCGTAAAGTTCCTGAGCGTTTCCACCGAGTGCCTCTTCTTACAGCTGTACAGGCCTGAATCATTGTAGGACACATTTATAATCCTCAAGAGTTTTTGACCAAAATGAGTCCGGTTGGTCGGTGAAATCCCAACGCCATCTTTATACCAGAGGAGCGATACAGGTGAGTCCGGAGTACTGCACTGAAGTTCAACTGTATCACCACTTCCAACCACCAACGCTTCGAGGAAACCCGCTTCACTTCTTAAATCATCTGCAAGAAAGGTATTTTGAGAAAAAGCTCATCAGGTTCTCGAGCCTTTGAGATACATTAAATCCGATTATACAGTAGCATTGATGGTGTTCAATGGTGCAAAAACACTGACTGATTATGTACTATCATGTCCCTGTTGATTCTTAGCAACCACATAGGGAGTTTTTGTCCGGGATAATCCAATCATATCATGGGATAAAGATCAGTATGTAGGTGAGCTTCTCTCCAAATGATTTTTCATGGTTTTCTTTTTAGCTAGCTATCAGTTCCAAGGAATCTTTGATTGCTTATTTGGAATAATTAACCAGTGGAACCACTTGCCTCCAGAAATTGTGGGGGCTCCATAGCTGGAGGCCTTTAAGAAGAGTCTGTACGGTTGTTTGTCTGAAATGGCAGAAGGTCTCCTGCTTGGGCAGGGGAGTGGACTAGAAGACCTCTAAGGTCCCTTTCAACTCTGTTATTCTGTTATCATTGCATCTGCTCCTTTGGCTTCTCACTTCAATCCTTATCTAGATTTTTAAAGCTCTTATTAGCCAAACTTGCACACAGCGCACCTCCCTTCCATCTTCCCAGCCTGCTTCCTTCAATCGGCTCCTTCCTCCCCTTCCTCTGGTTGCTGTTTCCTATCTTCTAGACTATAAATCGCTTTTCCATTCCAGGATGGACCTGTAGAGCGTGCGCATCGTAAGGAATATGAACCTCAGGTGCGTACAGGACCGGTTTCTCTCCCCGTGACTGAAGAACTGCCTCTCATGCAGGCATCCCACAAATCCTCTGCTCTGCCAAATTGACCAAGAATGTCACAGTTACCAGGCTAGTCTAAGGTTGAGAAGGATCTATGCCCAACATCCCAACGGCAACCTGCTAAACGGTGTCACAGTTTAATTACAAGGGTGTCCTCATGCGTCGTTGTTTCCTTTCATTCATCGCTTCCTGAAATTCCACCTCTGGACACACAATCCTGCTTTTCACCATCAGTTTTTCAAGGTAGGTAGTCCTTGCCTCAGCTTCAGTGAAACAGAGGAAGAACAATACGCAGCCCATTTGGAAATCTCTGCACTGAGGATAATAAAATTGTCCTCCTGGGAGATTACAGGTATTTCTCTGGGAGGAAAAGAAAAGAAAGGTGCGTATTTTCCTGGGCTAATCTTCCAAACTAACTCAAGAGGCAACAAATTAGACTGGATCAGACTTCAGTCAGCGCAACATAATCACAATCCCCTTTCTGGAGTTCCACTTTTGGCTCCTGAAACATTTTGTATGCTCTCAGCACACCTTGTATTAGTAGATGTCTATGGAGACCGGAAAACCCAGCTGCCTCTTGAAAAAGCACCTCTGGGACTCCTATTAGCAGGTTGGCCAAATGACAGAGATAGATAGAGGCAGATAGACAGACTAGATAGACTAGATAGATAGATAGATAGATAGATAGATAGATAGATAGATAGATAG